GGGAGGCGGGTGCAGAGGTAGGCAGGTGGGGAGGTGAGGAGGTAGGTAGGCAGGTGGAGAGGGTGGCAGGTGGGAAGGTAGGCAGGCAGGTAGGGAGGGTGGCAGGCAGGGACGGTGGTTGGTGTGGAGGGTGGCTGGCGGGGAGGGTGGCTGGCGGGGAGGTAGGCAGGGAGGAGGGGAGGGAGGGAGAAAGAGTGTGGCATACTCAGTACCACACGGGCCCAGCAGGGCCCGCGCAGGTAGACTAAGGGTCTGTACGTGTAGGCCCTATTTTCGTTTTAGCCTAAAAGCCTGAAAACGAGGGCCTACAGGCCCTGTGTTGTTTAAGCCTGAAAGCCTGAAAACAAGGGCCTACAGGCCCTTAGTCTTTTCAGCTTGAAATGGAGGGCCATTTTCAGGCCCTCATAAGATCGACCTGCCCTGAAACTTAGGCACCAAATCAGGGTTTTAGCACAGGCCATTTTGGGCCTTATTCAATACAACATTTGTTTGAACTTCAATGCCAGGGTCTGGCACGTTTTGGCATTGAGCAGCCTCCTGGACGGGCCAGCACTATATAAGACTGGCCCGTCCTACAGGCTGCAGGCAGTCACGAGGCAGTTCATAGGAACTTCCCAGGCACTTCACGTGCAGGAGGCAGGAGGTAGTCTTCAGGATTCGCCAGCAGCACTCTGGAGGAGCGCTGCAGGAGTAGTAGTAGCGTTAGCAGTAGTCTTCAGCGCTGGGCGCTAGTAGGAGCTAGAGTAGCCTTGGAGATTGAGAGAGGGAGAGATGGTTGGCGGAGGCCAGGGAGACTTGCCTGTGGCGCCATAGCTCCAGCTTCATCTTCGATGTACCTGCAACAAGGCGCCACCTTCACAGGTTAGTACCGGACTCTGTGTGTGTGTGTATGTGTGTGTGTGTGTGTGTGTGTGTGTGTGTGTGTTTGAGAGAGAGAGAGAGAGAGAGAGAGAGAGAAAGTTCTTCTTCTTCCTCTTCCAAGTCCACCATCTCTTCCTCACCCTCTTGCTACGTGACTTCTCCGTATAATGCAGACTACGAGAGAGAAAGATTGGTGACTTTGGGATTTGACGACAGTTGGATCCAGACTCGACATTGGGATTCAGACATTTGACGAGGGATTATTTGGGACTGTACCGAAGACTTGGTGTTGACGACATTCCCATCTTCCCCTCTTCTTCGTCTAATCCCCCTCTTCCTTGTCTGTGTATAGTTGGGGACTGGCGCATTCTTCCTGTGTGAACGCCAGACCCCTTCACACCATGGAATGATGATGATGTATGTTTGGTCTGCATGGCAACATTGATTGTTTGGATCATTGGTATTAAGCCTCCCACCGTGTTATCTTGTACTTTGTGAGAGAGGTCAGTTCTTGTTCTGGTCTGTACCGTTACAGTATGCGACAATTTGGTATCGGAGTGGAGCTCTCAATCAGAGGATCCGCCCAGTCAAGTAGCCAGCTTGCCTGATCTACTGATTGTAGAATGATTGATTGAGTCATTGGTTGATTGTTTACTAGTAAATCGAGTAGGACTTCGTCAAATCTCTGTGTGAGGAACAAGCCCTCAAGGGGCCCTAACATGCATCACATTGTTCTAGGCTAAGGCCCCTAGCAAGCCAAGTGCCCACCCTAAGTGAAGGCGGGCCTGAATATTCGTCAAACGCAAAATTCGACATTTCCATATGTGGGTATTCAGGCTCTCGCAGCACACCAGTTGGTTGGGAAGACGTGTGAGCCTCACATTGCTGCGTTATACAGTTGGCCCAGGCCTTGACAATTGCTGTTGCATACTTTAACAGTGCAGATCAGAACAAGAACCGACCTCTCATACAAAGTACAAGATAGCGTAGCGGAAGACTTAGATACCAATAATCCGAACAATCAATATTGCAATGCAGCCCCGAACATACATCATCATCATCACTCAATGGTGTGAAGGGGTCTAGCGCTCACACAGGAAGAATGCGCCAGCCCCAACCATACACAGACGAAGAAGAGGGGGTTAGACGAAGAAGAGGGGAAGATGGGAATGTCGTCAACACCGAGTCTTCGGCACAGGTCCAAATAGTCTCTCATCAAAATGTCCGAGTCCCAATGTCGAGTCTGGATCCAATGTCGTCAAGTCTCAAGTCACAACTCTCTCTCTCTGTCGTAGTCCGCTGATACTGAGAAGTCGGGGAGTGAGAGGGTGAAGAAGAGATGGTGGACTTAGAAGAGGAAGAAGAAGAACTCTCTCTCTTTCTCTGTCCGGTACTAACCTGTGAAGTCGGCGCCTTGATGCAAGTACCTCGAAGATGGAGCTGGAGCTATGGCGCCACAGGTAAGTCTCGCTGGCCTCCGCCAGTCATCTCTCTCCCACCTACTATTTCTACTACTACTACTAGCACCCTCCGCTGAAGACTACTCCTGAAGCTACTAGCGCCCAGCGTTGAAGACTACTGCTAGCGCTAATGCTACTCCTGCAGCGCTCCTGAGTGCTGCTGTCGAATCCTGAAAACTGCCTCCTGCCTTATGTCCAACTACCTAGCCGTGAAGTGCATGGGAACTCCCTATGTACTACTCGGCTTGCCTCCTGACTGCCTGCAGCTGCAGGGCGAGGCAGTTCAGGAGGCTGCTCTTGCCAATGCCAGGGCAAGCCAGGGGCTGGCGCCGCAGCTCTTGTCGAGGCAGGCGTGGGGAACAGGCCAAAATAGCCTGTTCCCAAAACCCTGGTTTGTTACCCGAGTTCTAGGGCAGGACGATCTTATGAGGGCCCGAAAGTGGCCCTCCGTTTCAGGCTGAAAAGACTCAGGGCCTGAACGGCCCTGTTATGGGCTGAAAACGAAATAGGGCCTGCAGACCCTCGTTTTCAATTTTCAGGCTAAAACGACATGGGGCTTGTAAGCCCGTATTTCTAGGCTTTTAGGCTGAGAATGCGGAACGGGCTCTGCAGGCCCGTGTGGCTACACAGTATGAAACACCCCCCCCTCCTTGAAAGACCGAGCTTACCTGCGAGGGCGAAGCTGTCTGTCTGAGGGAGGGACCACAGTCTGGGTGGGAGGGGCAGGTCGTGAAGTTCCCTGAGCTAACCTTTGCTTCTCGTAATGAGCGTAGATCAGCGGTGCGGATGCTTTCAAATCTGCTCTCGAAATCCACCGAGTGTCGTCGCGATCGCATGATTTGAATGTAACCTTGTACTGTCGAGGCTTGCTGCCGTACTTGCGATCGGTGATGAAGCGGTCAACTTCCTGATGACCATCCATAGAAGGAGGGTCCTACGATCGTCGACCCGGGAAGTCGTCGCTCTTAGTTGGTGTGTATGTCGCCAGCTTCGAGGCGTGAAAGACTGGATGGACCGTCATATGCGGGGGGATGTCGATCACAAATGAAGGGCCCTCGGGCTCATCGCTCGCGGCTGATGTTACGGGCCATGGTCCAAACCACTTGGGAAGCAGTTTGCGAGAAACATCCTGTTCCAGTCCAAACTCTTCCACGACGACCCAAACCAGATCACCGATGCGGATAGGACATGGCACGCGGTGCCTGTTGGCTTGGTGCTGCATGCGGACTTGAGCCTTTTGCATGTTTGCGCGGGCTTGAGCAACACTTCTCGGTACTTCCGGACGGAAGTGGGAGAGCGATGTCAGCTGGTCATGGGAGGAGAAGGTCGGCGAAGATACGGCCTTTCCGTTCACCGTGGTGCAACTCGAATGGAGTCACGCCGATCGTCGGGTGCACCAAAGTGTTGTAGGCGAACTCGATGTCGGGGAGGCGGTCAAMCCAATCTTTYTGGTCCGGACGAATGAGCGTACGAAGCATCATTTGAGCGGTTTGATGTGCTCGCTCTTTTTGCCCGTCCGTCTGTGGATGCCGAGCCGAACTTGGTTTCATCTTTGTGCCGGACTCCTGCATGAGAGCAGTCCAAAATGCCGACATGACGCGAGTGTCGAGGTCGCTGACTATGTCTTCCGGTACTCCGTGGGCGCAAATCGGCCGGTGTGCAAGAGGCGTGCCAGCTCGGGAGCCGCGGAGTAGTACTTGCAAGGAAGAAAAGGCGCGTACTTACTCAAACGGTCCACGACCGTGAGGATGTTGTCGTGCCCGAGGCGATCATAGGGAAATGCTCCGGTGACATCCATGGCAATGGAGAGGTCGGGTTCCCGTGGGATCGGGCGCAACTCGCCGTAGGGGTTGCGATTGCAGGGCTTGCTTTGTCGGCAAACTTCACAAGAGTCGCAATACCGAGTGACATCGGTAATGAGGTCGGACCATCGGAATCGTTGTCGAAGCCGTGCAATAGTGCGGTTGACTCTGAAATGGCCAGCGAGTCGCGAGTCATGGTACTCCCCGAGAAGGCGAGTCCGAAGACGACGGTCTCGTGGGACACACAATAAGTCCCTGCCTCTCGAGTGGAGGAGCAAGTACCCGTCGGCAATGCGATAGTGGCTGGCCTGCGAGTGATCCGAAGATAGCTGCGCATACAACGTGGCGAAGTCCGGATCAGACTGATAGCCCCGGATGAAGTGTCGCTGAAGTTTCTCGTGAAATGCGAAAGCATGATGTGTCATAGCGCAAAGATCAGGTCTTCGCGAAAGTGCATTTGCTACACGATTGGAGAGGCCGGGGAGATGTTTCGGTGTGAAGTCAAATTGGTCGATGAAGTACATCCATCGTCTGATCGTGCTGCTCACCGTATCCTTCGTTTTGTAGTAGGTCAATGGGTTGTTGTCCGTGACCCATGTGAACCTACGACGCCCAAGGAGGAAGTGCCGCCATCGCTTGAGAGTCATCACGAACGCGAGCAGCTCCTTCCTTGCATCATCAAGTGAATTGATGGGAGACACTTTGTGGTTGAAATACTCCACAGGGTGCCAGTCGTCGCCGTCGTGTGGTTCCAAGAAGCGTCAGTTGTCACTCTCGTAGGCAGGGTGGGGTCATAGATGCTAAGGACGCGTGCCATGAGCATGGTCGTCTTGAGTGCTTGGAATGACTGGCGTGCGTCGTCATCGAATACGAATGGCACTTTTGGCAATTGTAATCTCGTTATAGGTGCGACAATCCTTGAGTATCCGGTGATGAATCGCTGATAGTAGCCCGCCAACCCCATGAATGAACAAACGTCCGTGGTGTTGGTGCTTGGAAAGTGGCTGGGGCATTCGTAAGGCCAAATGACATAACCAGCCATTCGAAATGCCCATATCGCGTCTTAAACGCGGTCTTGTAGCGGTCCTCCTGCCGAATCTCGGGTTGGTGATATCCCGACTTGAGGTCAAGCTTGGAGAAGAACTTGGCGCTGCCCATCCGTTCGAGGAGGTCGTCGATGCGTGGAAGAGAACCGGTGTTTCTGAACGTTTGTGCATTGAGCTTGCGATAATCGATGCACAACCACAAATCCTTGTTCTTCTTCCGGACGAGAACAGGAGCACCGTCCAGCCGTTCGAGGAGGTAGTCGATGAGTGGAAGAGAACCGGCGTTTCTGACCATTTGTGCATTTAGCTTGCGATAATCGATGCACAACCGCAAATCCTTGTTCTTCTTCCGGACGAAGAGAACAGGAGCACCGTATGGCGATGAGCTAGGCCGAATCCAACCTTTCTCCAAAAGGTCGTCGATTTGTGCCCGTAGCACACTTAACTCTTCCTTGCTCATTCGGTAGATGCAACCGCGTGGAGGTACAGCCCCGTCCTCGAGGATGATCTCGTGGCGGACGGGCCGATCCGGTACTACTCCGTGCGGGCGTTCGAACACGTCGTCGTAGGCGTCGAGAAACTCGGTGATGCGTGGGTCCGAAGATGAGTCCGTCGATGAAGCGTCATGGGGCGGTAGGGCGTGGAGAAAACACACCGCCATCTCCTCGATGTCGTCTCTGATGATGGAAGCTCGCATGCTTGCGGCGGATACCACGTGGCAGCTGATCGAAGGGTGAGGAGGAGCTACCGTGCATGGGACTAGTACTCCGTTCCGATCACGAACGTGAACGGTGCGGCGGTAGAAGTTCACGGGGTGATCCTCGCTTCGCAGCCATGACATGCCCAAGATCATGTCGAATTTGGTGTCCAATATATCAAAGGACACCGCCTCGCTTGCATGGGGGGCAAAGTACATAGGGACGTCATCAATGCACCGGTCGATTGACTTGTGCGTGTGACCGTCTGGCAACGTGACTTGCGTAGGCTGGGACTTCCTCCGGACGCGTGGGCCAAGGCCGACGCGTACCATAAAGTCCTGGCTCATGTAGTTGCGAGATGCTCCGCAATCGATCAAAGCGCTGCAGGTCGCCTCTCCGATCTGAATGCGTACATATAACAATGGTACGTCGATGTCGTCGTACCATTGTGTCCTGAACTCGCGGTCGATCTTCGCAATGTAATTGTGAAGGTCGACAACCTCTACTCCGACGTCCATCAACGGAGTTGGTATTGCAGTGTGCAAGTAATCCCGCAATTGTGCCATGAGCACGTTGCAATGCGGTTTCGGCGATCGTCCGGTCGAGGGAACGGGCATCCAGTAGAAGTCCGCAAACGTTAACGGGTCGAGCGCTTCAAGTCTTGACCCTGTCGTCGAATCCCCTGCGATAGATGGTGGCGAAGTTGCCGACTCGGTTGCCGATGGTAGTGAAACCGTGCATGCGGTAGATTGTTGCACGTGGAGCGGTTAGTCCAACGGTGGGACCAAGTGGACAGCATAATCCTCGTAGTGTACCGAGAACTTGCGACATTTGCATCCTCCCCAGATGTGTAGGAGGCCGCTAGCAAGGCCGCTGAATCTGGCGGAGTGAGAGGTGGAGTCGCCCCGCCTCCCGTGCAACTCAGTTTCCCGAGTTGATGCGAGGCTGAACATCCTCCTTGCCTTGATCCGGGCATTGGGAGGTTTTGTGCTTGGTGTTGTTGCACCAATAGCAGCAGCCATAGAGGCCGCGCCACTTGTATTCCGCCTCGGTCAAGTGAAACTTGACCCATGGTGTTGGCTGTCCGTTTCCGGCCGGCGATGCGGTTTTCGGCTTTCCGTTTTCTCAGGACTTGTTGTTGCTTCGCGGTTGGACAGCAGCCATATGATCTCCCTCACATGACGCTTGGGTGGGTGCCGGGTCTTCCACAATGTTGTCCGTTTGGACTGCAGCGACATGCTGCGGTCGCGGACCAGTTTTCACCTTCTCCACATAGGTTGGCTGCCACGTTGTCGCCCTGTTTGTCTTGATGATCTCCCTCGCCTTGTTGATGATTTCGGCGAAGGTGTTGTGCTGCTCGCGATCACCAAGTGCGAGGCTCAAAGCGGCGCATGACCGGTTGTAGAACTCGCAGATGCGGGAATGGCAAGTCCAGATCGGGCGTCCCCATGATCTTCTGCCAATCCGTGAGCCAATCAAGTGTCGCTGTGTTTCCTTGAGCCATCGTGAACATGCGGTTGATGGCGAGTGTCGGGGCGTCGTCAACGATGAACCACTTCTTCCGTTCTTTTGTCTGATCCTCCCAGGAGACCTTCTTGTGTAGGTCGAAGACCTGGACGCCGTGGACGGTTGCCATATGGCTGAGTCAGATCTGGCATCCTCCCTTGGCGTTAAGGAACAGTGCGCCGATGAACAGATGTTCGGGGACCTCATGAATCCCCAACTCCGTTGTGAATCCTTGCCACGAGACGACCTGGTTTTGATGTGTGTAGTCATCAAACTTCTCGTTCGGAACGTTAGCATCTTGTAATGCTTCGTCGTGCTGGTGCTGCGATCGGGGTCAGACGGCTGTTGTCGCTGCCTGATCTCGGTATTCAGTGTGTCCAGCTGCTGGCTGATGGTGGCTGGCGCTGCGAAGGTGCTGATATCACCTAGCATTGCCACTACGTGATCGATACGTTCCTCCAGTTGGCGGGCAGAGGTCCCTTTTTCTTTTTTTTTTTTGCATGTCTGTCGATCTGCTATGAGTGAGTCATGTCAGAAGAGTACTATGAACGAGATATAGGCCAGGTTCAACAAACTTTCGGCTTTCACAAAAATGCGATCTTGAAAAAAATAAATAAATTGCGAAATAGAGTAGAGATGCGATTTTCAGAAAAGAACTAAAATCCAGTTTCTGAGAATACGGCAACCTCCTAATATGCCTAAAACGAAATGCTGGTAGGCTTCGCAAGATTTCAGTTTTCAAAAAAAAATAAAAATTTGCGAGATAGAATGGAGATTCGATTTTCAGAAAAGAATAAATCTGTTTTTCGAGAATATGACCACCTCTATCGTTATCCTAATATGCCTAGAAAACGAAATGTTTACATCATAAATTTTTGGCTATGTATGCGAATACTAGAGAAACGAAATGCTACTATCAGGAATTTTCAGATTAAACGAAATGCGATTATCAGAAATTTTCAGATATTTGTTGCGTGAAAACGAAATACTAATATCAGAAATTTTCAGGTAAAACGAAATGCGATTATCACAAATTTTCAGATATTTGTTGCGAGAAAAAAAAAAAATTCAGAGATTTGACGAAGTCCTACTTGATTTACTAGTGAGTAATCAATAGATCAAGCAAGTTGGAGACTTGATTGAGCGGGTCCTCTGATTGAGAGGTCCGCTCCGATACCAAATTGTCGCATACTGTAACGGTGTAGACCAAAACAAGAACCGACCTCTCATACAAAGTACAAGATAGCGCAGCGGAAGACTTAGATACCAATGATCCAAACAATCAATATTGCAATGCAGCCCCGAACATACATCATCATCATCACTCAATGGTGTGAAGGGGTCTGGCGCTCACACAGGAAGAATGCGCCAGCCACAACCATACACAGACGAAGAAGAGGGGGGTTAGACGAAGAAGAGGAGAAGATGGGAATGTCGTCAACACCAAGTCTTCGGCACAGGCCCAAATAGTCCCTCGTCATAATGTCTGAATGCCAATGTCAAGTCTGGATCCAATGTCGTCAAGTCTCAAGTCACAACTCTTTCTCTCTCTGTCGTAGTCCGCTGATACTGAGAAGTCAGGGAGTGAGCGGGTTAAGAAGAGATGGTGGACTTAGAAGAGGAAGAAGAAGAACTCTCTCTCTCTCTCTCTGTCCGGTACTAACCTGTGAAGTCGGCGCCTTGATGCAGGTACCTCGAAGATGGAGCTGGAGCTATGGCGCCACAGATAAGTCTCGCGGCCTCCGCCATCCATCTCTCTCCCACCTACTACAACTACTACTACTAGCGCCCTGCGCTGAAGACTACTCCTGCAGCTACAAGTGCCCAGCGCTGAAGACTACTGCTAGCGCTAATGCTACTCCTGCAGCGCTCCTCCTGAGTGCTGCTGCCGAATCCTGAAGACTACCTCCTGCCTTCTGTCCAACTACCTACCCGTGAAGTGCATGGGAAGTCCCCATGTACTACTCGGCCTGCCTCCTGACGCAGTCCAGGAGGCTGCTCTTGCCAATTCGTGGGCAAGCCAGGGGCTGGCGCTGCAGCTCTTGCTGAGGCTGGCGTGGGGAACAGGCCAAAATAGCATGTTCCCAAAACCCTGGTTTGTTGCCTGAGTTCTAGGGCAGGACGATCTTATGAGGGCCCGAAAGTGGCCCTCCATTTCAGGCTGAAAAGACTCAGGGCCTGAACGACCCTTTTATAGACTGAAAACGAAATAGGGCCTGCAAGCCCTCGTTTTCAGTTTTCAGGCTGAAACGACATGGGGCTTGTAAGCCCTTATTTCTAGGCTTTTAGGCTGAGAATGCGGAACGGGCCCTGCAGGCCTGTGTGGCTACACTGTATGCCACAGTTGCGCTTGGGCATACATACACAAAGCAGGGCCGATACATTGGGAAGCAGGCCTTCGGCCTTGGCAAAAGCAGTAGTGCCAACGCACCTGCCTGGGAGCCCTGCACAGATGCAGCAAACAACGTAAGTCCGGAGACTCAGGCCGTGCCTAACTACAAAGGGCCCAGGCCCTCAACTATAGTCTCGGGCCTGGGCGCAGGGTCTGGGACCCAACCGGAAGCTACTGGAAGCTTCCAGCCAGGCCACAGGCTGCCACTTCCACAGAAGGAAGGAAGCAGCCCAGGCCAGGAATGCTGGCCAGCGCTGGCAATGCGGAAGTGCTGCTGCGCTCTCGCTTGATGCTGCGCTGCTGCCAAGGGTGCGGACGGGGCACGAGAGGTGAAGTGGGGCGTTGCATGGCAGTGGGGCGCAGGCAGCTATAGCCGGGCTGCTGGGTGCCAGGGAGGTATAACGGATGATCAGGTGGTCTTCAGGGAAGGAGGCGCTGTGTGGAGTAATCAAGGTCTGATTGAGGGTGACGAGATACGTATCTGGTACATGAAGAGAGGTCGGCGATGGTGTTGGCAGTCATGTACATTGGTCTTCGTGAGTCGAAGTGATCCTGTTGCGTGAACCACCTGTAGGTAGGATAGTCTGGTAGAGTAGGTTGAGCGCTGAAAGCCAGACAGAGCAGAGCGACTTTGGATACTGTGTTGGTGTGGCCTACGGGCTTGAACATTTGCTCATTACTTCATTGTATTGCTCTATATGGATGGTTTTCTCGGTGCATTTGTACTCTCTGCTTGGGACACAACTACTTGGTCAGCTGTGTGATTTCGCAACTTGGTTTTATGTATATCGCTCACACATATTCGTTGCATCTGCAATTTTTTATTTTTTTTTCTCGCAACAAATGACTGAAAATTTCTGATAATAGCATTTAGTTTTATCTGAAAATTTTTGATATTAGCATTTCGTTTTCACGCAAAAAAATATTTGAAAATTTTTGATAGACTGATAGTAGCATTTCTTTTATCTGATATTAGCATTAAAAATCTTTTGATATTTGCATTTATAGCCGAAAATTTCTGATGTTAGCATCTCGTTTTTCGTAGGCATATCTCTTCTCTATACATATAAAGGAAAACGCGGGTCTCGCGTGACGGTCCCTCGCAAGACTTGCCGTGCCGGGCCTACGGGCGGTTTGTCGGTTCGCGCGAAGTTTGTCCGTTCAAAAACTTTTGTCGGTAGACGGTCGCGACGTCTTTTCAGGAGGCCGGGATGTGGTGTTTCGACGTTCCAGGACGCATCGGGACGTCTTATCAGGAGGGGGGGGGGGTAGCGGAGTGCAGCGATGCGGTGTTGGCATCGGGACGTGGTTTCGGAGTCGGGGGGTGTGTGCGGACGTGCATGCATCGGGACGTGGTTTCGGAGTCGGGGGGTGTGTGCGGACGTGCATGCATTGGGACGTCTTACAGAGAGAGAGAGAGAGAGAGAGAGACGGCTGCAGCGCCGCCGGATGTGACTGCGCAGATACACACACACAGAGAGAGAGAGAGAGAGAGGGCAGATGCGACTCGCCAGGTAGAGAGAGAGAGGGGGAGAGAGACAGAGAGAGAGAGAAACAGGCGGAGCAGACGACAAGCACCGACACCCAACACCCGCCAAGCACAACGTGGGAAAAAACACACACACAGAGAGAGAGAGAGAGAGAGAGAGAGAGAGAGAGAGAGCAGACAACAAGCACTGATGCCCGCAAAGCACAACATGGGAAGAAACAAAGAGAGAGAGAGAGAGAGAGAGG